TTCAGGAATTATTTACATGTTTTTATAACTAATGCATATAAGAATACTTAATTAAATAAAAAATGTAATGTAAATGCAAAAAATTAAAAAATGGGAATAATAATACAAATTGTGCTATGTAAATGTATATATGAAAAAAATATCAATCAAGAGTGATCATCTTAAAAAACTTTTATTGAACATAAACGTTTTGATACATCAAACAAAACTTTACATATAGGAGATAATTTTCACTCCTAACTTCTCTATTTCCCTTAAAAGCCAAATTATCTTCCACTCATACTCAGGTGTGGAGTTGTCAATCTGTTTTAATTATCTCGTGAAGCCAGCTAAATCAACCAGTGTATGAGCCACTTTTTTTGCTTGGGCAATAGCTTTCTTCATGACGTTGACTTTTTCTTTTATCTTCTCTGACAATTCTCGAAGTTGTAGACAATGTTGTTCATTTTTCCTTGTGAGGGGATCTTTATGGTTACAGAGTTCTTGTACAAGATTTTCATAATCATCTAAAACTTTCATCAATATCTTGTTTCTGGCCTTAGTGACTTTTAATTCAGCATTATCTCACACCGATGGATTTGATATGAATCTTTGATATTGGTTATAACAATATTCAACATTTGATTTTCAACTAGATATTTTTCCAAATTGACGATGGATGTATTGCGCATTTCTTCTGTAACCCGTAAACCATGAAAAAAACTTCCTAGCTCGACCTTCATGTATATTGAAGTTCTTCTTCAGTTTAGTGACCCATGTTATCCATTCTTCTGGGGTATTTCCTATACCAACATTTTTAAAGGTTTAACTGTCCTTTTGGAAATCTTCATGCATGGTTTCCATTTTTGTGCTCAATTTATAGTTTTCAATATTTAAATGACTTATTTGAACCTCGTGGATCAGCAAGTCTTCTTTCTTCCAACTGATATTCTTACCTTTGAACACTTTTGGTATTAATCTAGCAGGACCCTCAGTTACCAAACTAGGTCAATTATTTATCATAAACTCTAAGATTCCATGATCCAAAAGACATTGGACTCGATGTTTGAAGGCAATGCAATTCTTAATGGAATGTCCTTGAGCTCTGGCATGATATTCACAATGAACATTGATGTCATACCAATTCGGATACGGAGGTTTCAATAGTTTCACATAATGTGGAGCTACTTCTCGCGCTTCAAGTAGCTTTTTGTACAACTCCTTATATGATATAGGGATAGCATCAAAATGAGAATCACCTTTTGTCTTGGATTGAACCTGGGTTTCCAACGTCGAGAGCAGACTAAACATCAACGATTTCAGATTGCATGATTTCTTCTCAGTTTTGGGAGCTTTTACAGTTGTCATCATTTCCTTGGTATCTCCAGACAACTTGTGAATACAAATGATGATTGTATGTAATTTATCAAATTGGTTAAGATCTGAAGTCTCTTGTATATATGAGATTACAAGATTATATTTATTGAGCTCTATCTCTTTTTTGCGCAGGATTCCCTTTTCCTTTGGCCAAAACAAATATTCTACCCATCATCTTGGACATTTGCTCTCTTATTTCTCGTATCTCCTTTCGCTCTTCAATGGGCATACGATCTTTGGGTGCATAGTTCTCCTCTATCCTCGGAGTTCCCTAAGGATTCCATTCCTTAGCTGCGTCATAGTTTATTTGATCATAAAACTCTTTGTCCGTATATGAAAACATTTTATTTTGATGACCAATCTCGAATCAATACCTTCTAATCATGTCATGATCATGCAATGCAAACAAAAGAAATCAATATAAAAAAGTTAGAACAAAATAAAATGTATATAAATAAATAGATAAGAATAAGAAAAGAATAAAATGGTTAGTACCCATTAATGGAAAAAGTTCCTATCTATCATGGTATCTATATATATATCCTAACCTCATGTTTTCTAGTTCCATGCTTTGTTTGGAAAAATTAACCTAACCGTATGATTTCTAGTCCGCATGAATTTATTCAGAAAGAATCAAATAAATTAAAAGACGAAAGTTAGAGTTTATTTCTCCTTTGTGTACACCTTCGGACAAAGTTTCAGTATGGCCTTAGATCGGATGAATTTCTATGGTTTATTATATACAAGGTTATGGTTCTATGAGTAAAGGTACTCGAATTGTCCTTGTTAGTGCCCCTTTGGGCTATTAAACCCTCAATCCTATCAATTACAGACTTTTGAATTGGGTTTAATTCGAGAGGGCACATTTCCCTATGCCTGACACGGATAATAAATCCTCACGAAGATATAGGGTATATGAACCCTAAAAGTTACTTGCTAGGTCTAACACAGAGAATAAATTCTCACGAAGTCATCGCTTTCACTGCCACTTAAAAGGGAAAAGAGCTCAAGTATAGAGCTTATGTTTATGCAATGCACGTGTTGTGAATGAGGAAAATTTCTCAAACCTTTGACAAATAATTACTTTAAAAATAATAAAACCTAATATCTGAAAATCAATCAAATATAAACATTAATATACAAGGAAAAAATTGAAAGAAATCAAAAGAATAATGAATTAAATAAAACTGAATTCTCAATTTCTAACTACACAGACAATATATAATCGATTTAGGGCTTGACCAGCTTAGGTCCCCAGCAGAGTCGCCAAGTTATCGCAACCTGTTTTCGCCCGGGCACGAATGATTCTTGGCGGAAAAGTATGTGAATAAATAAATGGTTTTTCAAAGAAATGTTTTGGAGTTGCCATCGACCTTTTGGGTTAGGTAGGTCGAATTCCTAAAAATCATCTTTTAAAAGAGTTTTTAAGAAAAAACTATTTAAAAGATAAATCGGTTTGTGTATAACCAAAAATTCATTCTTTTTATTAATAAAAAGGGATTCGTGATCGGTTATGTTTGGGGAAAGATTAGCACCTCCACAGCATCCAAAATTGGTACATGTCGATTATAAGTTGTCTCTAATAATAGAAATTTAAGAAATCGAATATAAATTTAATTTATGATTCTATTATTTCATATTCAATCACATAATCTTAAGGAAAAATATAAAATATTCCAATATTTCTAATTGAAGAGAAACCAATCCGTAAATTACTTTAGGACGAATATTTCTCTTTCCAACTGAAATAATAAGAATATGATAATTCTTCCCAAGAATTTTAGATTTAAAAGAACTTGATTTGACTGAAATAGGCATATTTGATTTTTTAGAATATTTATTTATTTTAAAATATCAGAATATGGCATCTAGTTATTTTAAGAGAACCCTTTCTTAATATTTTAAAATAAATATTATTCATTTGATCAAATTATGAAATCAATCAAGTTATATTATGAATTTATCATATAAATGTGACTAATTAATAAAAATTTAAAACTATAGGATTAGATTAAAAAGTAATAAAACATATGGTTTAAAATAAAAATTATTTAAATTATCAGGGATTAAAATGTAAAATATCAAAAATAATGGCCCTAATTCAAAATATCATGAAATCTAGGTATTAATAGTGTAATTTAACCATAAATAATTATACGAGATTAAAATATTAATTATTAAAACCTAAGGGACTAAATCTAGTATTTACCCTAACTATATGTGAATATACGGGCAATGATTAAAATAAAATAAAACTAAACTAAAAGACCAAATTAAAAATTACAGAAGTTGATTTCAGTGGCCAACTTAAAAGATTACAGAACTTAGAGGGATTGTGGATGTGATTTTCCCATGAGGGTAATTACACAAATAGCCCTCCCTAAAATGACGCCGTTCGGGGAGGGATATTTAAACCCAAAAACAAGCCATAAGGGCCAATTTTTTCCCATTTTTCCTTTTGGTTTCTCTCTCTAGGAGAGAGAAGCTCTCTCTTCTCTCTAAAATTCTCTCGCTGGAGGGAATTCGGCCACTACCGACCGCCGTGCTTCGACGCCGATAGCCACCGCCGACCACCAGTCACAATGGCCAGAAAATGCCAAAATACACCAAATCAAAGGCCTAGGTCTCCTAAACCCGAATACGGCCTTCTTTTCTCCTAGAAAGCCCTACAATTTCCTAAATCTAAGTTTATACCTTCGGTATTTTGGTTCTTCGACGACGTTTCGAAGGCCTCCGACGATGGTAAGTCTCTTCACTCTCTTCTCCTTTTTTATTTCTATGGCTGATTGTTGGTTTTTGTTGTTGTTGGTGTGTTCGTGTTGCTTGCTTGTTCTTCTGTCTTCGGTTCTGTTGGTTGTGTTTCTCTCCGTGTTTTTTGCTATTCGTTTTTTTCGTTTGCAGGTGATGGGTGGCTTTTATAAGCCTTATTGATACTGCTCTTGGACCGGTCAGAAGAGTGGCCCTCGGTTAGTCACCGAAGCTATAGTGGTGACTCACCAAAGAGCAATGAGGTGTGCAACCATCTCATCGTCTTCTGGAGTCTTCCGTTGAGGCGGCGACGTCGTGGGAGAGGCTGGAGGGAGCTCGTGGAGGCGGTGGCCAACATAGACCCTAGGGTATAATGAAACCCTAGGGTTTCTGCTGGAACCATCTGGATCGTTGGATCTCATCAGATTCAATGGCTGACATTTGTGGTGGCTATAGATGAAAATGTGGAAACCCTAATTATTCTAGGCCTTCTCGTGTTTGGGCCTGGATCGCGTCAGGTTTGTAGTCTGCTGGGCCCGATTTTTGTTGTAGTCTGGGTTCACTTTATGTTGGGCTGATCCAGGTTTGGTTTGTAGATGGGCTTCTAGGTCTTGTAATGGGCCTGTAATATTTGTAATTATTATTATTATTTAATAATAATAATAATAATAATAAATAATAATAATAATAATAAGAAGAAGAAGAATAAAGAATAATAATAATAATAATAATAATAAATGATGGAAAAAAAACTAGTGTCTACAAAGATGGTTTAAACTATACGAGGAGTTGGGTATGGATGAATTGATCAAGTTGAAAATAAGATCAACAACTTTAAGAAACGACATGTTCCCAAAGTAATATGGAATTGGACTTACAAATAATTATAGCTAAGATCAAGCGACACAAGACAATGAAGACCAAGTATCGACATAGGAACTGAAGATAATTTCTTCCCAAGAAAGATCAAGAACAGCTAGTGAATTTGTAAAATTAGCAGTGCTGATCGGAGATGTATCATCTTGTAACATGCAACCAGACAAGTGCAACTCTAACAAAGAAGGAAGATTGGATATTGTTACCTGCAGCCAATCAGTTGCTTTACCAAGATGAATGCCACTCAAATCAAGGTACCGCAAAGAAGAAAGTCCAGAAACCCATTGAAGACTTTTCACTTCTTCTGATAAATAAATACCTCGGAGGTCGAGATACTGCAACTGTGAGAGATTCCCAAGGTTACGAGGAATTGCTCCCTGGAATCGTGCTTGAGAGAGGTTAAGATATGTTAAACTCCCCAGCAAACCCAAAAACTCAGGGATTTGAATGCTGCTAAAATTGTTATTGCTCAAGTCAAGCCAATTGAGATGCTGCAACTCCAGCAGAGAAGGATTTATTTTGCCTTCTAGAGCTGAATGACGGTAGTCTTCCAGTTCAGCAAGTGGTGCCCAATCAGAAGGAGGTGAAAAAGAAGCAGGCAAGTGCAGTTGGAGGACGTGGCCTGTTGAGTTGTGGCAGACGACACCATTCCAATGACAGCAATCCACACCTTCAACCCAAGAAGATAGGGTGTTTGAAGGATCAATCAGATCATTCTTCAACTTAAAAAGAGCTTCTCTCTCACTCTCAATGCAAAGCACATTGGAATTGCCATGGCATAAGCTAACAGTGATAGCCGCAATGAGAAGAAGAAATGGGAATATGGAATTTGTAAGAATTGTCATGGTTACCATTGCATTGTACCAATCTTTGCTAGAAACTCTGAATATATAGAGACTAGAGAGAGCTAAAACAAAAAAATATATATATAGTAGAGAGCAGGCGGAAGGAACTTTCATCCAGTACCCTAAATTTCCACACCCACCAAAAAAAGAAAAAAAACAAACAAAAACAAAGACTGAATCTTAAAAGGAAAAAAATATATATTAATAATTAAGCTATAAAATAACAATTCTAGTATGATCATCATTAAATACTTAATTTCTATATGATCATTAAGTAAAATTAAAATGTATACCAATTTTATCGAGGAAAGGAAAATAATGATTAAGATGTAAAAAGGACACATTTTAAATTTTTAATATCAACTTCACTAACTAAATTAGCTGTTTCTTTTTGGTTTAAACAGGTCCCTGGATCTTGAATTATTTTAATTAAAATTTAGTTCCCTACTTTAATTATTGAGTATCTATTTCTTCAACAAACAAAAAAAAAAGTATTTAGACTATTATAAGCTTAGAGGACTAAAACAAGGTTGTTTTCCTTTTTATAGTTTAAAAAAAAAACTATTACTAATAAATTTAAACTTAAGTTAAGAAGGATCAAGATTTTAGGGATAAAAATGAGGTTCATCAAATTCATAAATGTTGCTGGGGCATTGGAGAGTCCGAAAGGCATTACAAAGAACTCGTAATGGTCGTACCTCGTCCTAAACGTGGTCTTGGCGATGTTAGCGTCATTTACTTTCTACTGATAATACTCTGACATCAAGTTAATCTTGGAGAACACACATGCACTCTTAAGTTGGTCGAACAAATTATCTATCCGATAGAGAGGGTAACGATTCTTAATGGTTAACTTATTCAGTTGTCGATAGTCGATGCATAACCTCATCGACCCATCCTTCTTCTTGACAAAAAGGACCAGTGCTCCCCAAGGCGAAACGCTCAACCAGATAAAATCCTTATCGAGCAGTTCATGAATCTGATTCATTAACTCTTTTAACTCTGTTAGCGTCATTTGATAGGGTGCAATAGACACCGGGACTGAACCTGGCAAAACCTCTATGCTGAACACTACCGTGACGGTCGAGTGGTAGCCCTGGCAACTCCTCTATAAACACATCAGAGAACTCTCAAACGGTACGGATATCCTCAAGCGTTGGAACAGAGACTCGTGTCTCCACAACATGAGCCAAGAAGGCTTCACAACCTTGACTCAACAACCTTTGGTCCTTGATTGCCGAAATAACTTTGGTAGTATAACCCAAACTCCCACTAGTCATCACTACCTTGGTTCCATCATCCTTGCGAAGCTTGGGTCGTCTCACTTTGCACCTCAAACTTACGTCGTGCTTGAAAATCCAATCCATGCCTAATATCACATCGAACATCCGAAACGATAGTTCAATCAAATCGATTAAGAATATCTCACCCTGTAGCTCTACGGGAAAACGGCAGCAACCAAAATGTCTAACCCTAGGGGACTAGACACTCTGACCCTTATTTCTAAATTCTCAACTGGAACTTTCACTTGGTAGTATAATCCTAGGGAACTCTCACCCTAAAGCTCTACGGTGCAACGTGCAAGGAACTTCCACTTGAAGAGCAATTTCTAAGTTACTGCACCCAAAAAAAAAAATTAAATTGATAGTAAAAAAACATACGGTTTGCTAATTGTGAAAAAGATGAAATCATGAAAAGGAAAAAAATCCTATGTTAATAATTAAGTTATGAAATAAAGAATTTAATCTGAATTTCAATTATTTACCAAAAGAAATACTTTTGTTTTATTTTAGTTTATTTTCATTAATATTTTTTTAAAAGGTTATCACTAATTGAACAATACAATTTTTAATCTTCTACATTTATAGTTTTTTAGGAGGCAAATTGTTCAATATTATAAGCATAGAAGACTAAAACAAGGTAGTTTTCCTTTTTTATAGTTTTAAAAAAAATTATTACCAATAAAATTAAACTTAAGTTAAGAAAAGGGATCGAGATTTTCAAATTGAAATTAGTACTTAAATTTATGAAAAATGAGGTTTGAGGACTTCTTCAATCCAAAAAAAATGTTTATGAAATAAACATGACAAGGATGTCAAATCAACAAGTCTGTGAAGTATGTGCCACTCCTACTATATGACCACCCAACAAAGAGAGAATAACCTTTTTTAAAAGTTAACTGAACATATATTTTCATAAATTTTAACAATCGAAAAAATATATTCCTTTGAAATTAATAATCTTAATATTTAATATTTTAAATATGCTTAATAATTTAAAATTTAAATTATTCATCTAAATAAAATTGACAAACAAATCAAATATTCAATAATATATACGGAGTCTCCCACACGAAAATAACACATTAAATTAGCTATTGTTTTCTAATTTTTTGTATGTAGTGTGGAATTTAATAACTTGCAGAAGCATATGAAATAGACTTGACAAGGAGGTTAAGTCATCTAAGTCTACGGAATAAATCCCACTCTTACGGCATGGCTATCCAACTAAGAGAGAAGAAAATAAAATTACATGAATTTTGAAATTTATTGAATATTTATTTCATAATTTAATTTATTTATAACTTCCATATTAACATTTTAAGTATGTTTGATAGTTTAAAGTTAAAATTATTTATTAATTTTTTTTGAATGAGAAAAATATTAAACTCTACATTGTTCATGAAATCATCCTCTTTCAATAGAAAATAACTTGGGTATGTGTATTAAAAGTGCTTTTTATCTTTTTGTGATATTTTGGGCTTGAAGACTCTTGTAAAGATTGAAGAAATTGGTTATCTTAGATAGGCCGCTACTAATTTTGGGCCAATGGGTGAGCATGAAATCCAAGTCCAATAGTTTTCTTCAAAACAAAGACATTTTATTTGTGAAGATGACGTACTGATTTACTTCAATGGTGCCAACCCTAGCCGTTCAGCACAATTTAATCTCCTTATCACATCTTACACGAGAAACACCCAACCCCACACTGCAATTGAAATCTATGCTCATTTGACAAGATTGGATGATGAAGTTGATGGGTACGATATTAAAAACCGCACTTTTGGAAATGTTTGCTAAGTGTGGAGACATTGATGGAGCTTGGAAATTGCTTAGGGAAGCTAAAGATCGATATATTGGCATGTGGAGTACGATTATGGCAGGATTCGGAATGCATGAATGTGGTACGGAGGCTTTGGAGCTACTCTCCGAGATGGAAAGAGTGGGTGTTAGGCCTAACGATATCGCATTTATTGGTCTTTTTCATGCATGTAGCCATGCAGGGGTGGTGGAAGAAGGGAAGTTGACGTTTGACAAAATGGTTCATGAGTTTGAATTGGTTCCAAAGATTGAGTACTATTCTTGGTCCAACAGGACATCTAGATGAGGCCTATGAGATTATCAAAAACACGCTTATAAGGGAAAACGCCATTATATGGAATACTCTTCTTGCTGTATGCAAGCTTCACCAGAATGCTATATTAGGGGAAATAGCTGGAAGGCAGCTTGTTCACCAGGAACCTCAAAACCGAGGTTATAATGTTTCGTTATCAAATATATATGCAATTTCAAATAGGTGGAATGATGTTACAGTGGTGAGAAAAGCAATGAAGAAAAAGGGAATGAGGAAAGAACCAGGGCTCAGCTGAATTGAAGTAAATGGATTATGTTCATGAGTTCATAATGGGAGATAGCCTGAAATCAAAAAGATAAATGTTATGGTATCTGACAAGCTAAAGGAGGCAGGTACAGGGCAGACACTTCTGAAGTCTTGAAAAAATAGATGAGGAAGAGAAAGAAACCTCACTTGACTATCACAGTGAGAAACTGGCAATGGCTTTTGGCCTCATTAGCACAGCCCTGGGACTCCAATTCGAATTGTGAAAAATCTCAGTTTGTAACGATTGTCACACTGTAACTAAGTTGATGTCTAAAATAAATCAGAGAATAGCCGTCTACTCAAAAGCCTTGAGAAAGGAAAACAAAAAATGGAGGATTTTGAGGTTGACAGAAGAGAGCGAATTATAAAACACAAGGCTGAACACCGCGAGATCATGAATGAAATGCAGAGAGAAAGGGATCGAGCCAAAGATTTAGAAGAGATAAAGAACGAAATGCTTGAGAAATATGAAGATGAGAAAAATACCATGTTCAAGGGATTTGAATCTAAAATAAACCATCTGATTGCTGAACTTGAAGTTAGGGGCTAAAGGATTGAAGAGTTCAATGTTGAAAAAGAAAAATGGGAGCTGGAAAGGAAGAATTTCAACACCAAACTTGAGGTAGAGCAAGAAGTGGCTAGCAATTGGATGCAAAGATGCAGACACAAGAATGTTCAAATCCAGAAGCTTAATCAAATGGCGCAAGAAGAACGAACAGAACTTGAAGAAGATCTGGATCAGTCTAAAAACAAAAACTCAGAGTTTAATGCTTACATTTTGCAACTTGAAGAGTCATTATTTCAAGAAAAGGTTCGTCTAGGACCTAGTGATCTTAAAGAAAGTAATGAGGAGAGTGCTTCGCTACGAAGACGCATTAGAGATCTTGAAAAAACTCTGCACAATTATCAAGTCAGAATCACTGAGTTAGAGCAAACTCTCGAAGGAACTAATGAACAAATGGCAAAAATCAACTGATTTCTATGTAGAAAGAAGTGAAGAAAGAAGCAATATGGTATTCGAATGAGCGAAGTTGCTAGATATGTTGGGGAGCTAGCTGTTGAAGCAAAAATAATTGAGCATCACGTTGATCCAGTTTCTAAGTTCGGAAAGAAGATGTCATGGCTAATGAAAGAAATTATAGAGCTTAATAGGAAAGCTACGCCTTATCTGTAGTTATGAACTATTATAAAGAAACTTTTGTATGCCGATGAAAGTTGTTCTATGACAGTTAACTTTTTGGGATCAATACCATTTGCATACATGCATTTTGCATACATTCATTATTCATTGCATTATTTTCTTTATGTATAATTTTTATTATTAAGATAACATTCATTAA